GCTCAAATGTTGACTCCACACTTACCCCCCTCCACGCCATAACTCTGCACTCCCTCACCCCACTTTATTCTTTTACAGCACTTAGCACTACCTGGAAGCAGACATTATCTCTTCGTTTTACTTGTTTATCTTCTGTGTTTCCCTCTAGAACGTAAGGCCCATAAGAACAGGATTTTGTCTTGTTCTCTGCTGATCCCCAGGGTTTAGAATAGTGCCTGGCTTGTAGTCAACATTCAGTAAATATTTATTGAATGAATAAACATGTTTTAAATATATTTTCCTCTCTGTTGCTTATCCTTCAACTTCATTTTATAAAGACCTTCGTTTGCAAAAAAATTTGAGGTAGTCCAATTTAACAGTCTTTTTTACTTTGTTTTTAACTCTTAACTCTTCTGTTTTATTTAAGAATACTTTCTCCTTATTATGGTCGTTTCAAAGTTCTCCACTTACTTTAAAGTTTTATTGTTTTCATGTTGAGATCTTTAATGAATATGGAATATATTTTTCCGTATGACCTGGGTTGAATCTAATTTTTCTGAATAACCAATTGTCCTAATCAGCAAAGATTGTTTTCATTGTCCTTACTATAGTCAACTATTTTTAAAAGTCAGTAAATGGAAGGATACTGATTAAAAGAATTAGGAACTAGTGTATGTTTCCCAAAGTGACTTCTTTGTTGCAATCACTGTTTTAGAGGAATTATATTTGTCTTGATATAGGCCATCTTTCAATTGATAGCAATTATTGTCAGTGGTAAGGTACTAAAAAAATCTCTCTTTGTTTTCTGAATTTGTTTTTAACTAGGGAAGTACACAGACTGATGCCCTGAAACTTCTATCTTCCCAGTCTTCCATGCTTTTAAAGAACAAAGCATTGATGTGCAAGCCCGTCACACAGACCAAGGCCACTTCTTGCAAACCACATACACAACACAAGAAGTGTCAGACAGGTATGTGTCTTTGTGCTTTCCACATGTAGAAAGCTTGTCTTCTGTTTTGTTTGTGTTTTTTTAAGAAAGGAAAAGAAAGTCTTTGACAGTTTCTTAAAGGTGAAAACATTAATTCTTAGATCACATACTTTGAACATCTAATTTATTCCTTTTAAATTATTGTCATTAACACTAATAACTGCTAAATTGAATCCATATGCACACAAAGCCTTGTGCAGAGTGGACAGACATCTCCTATATGTGTGCACTGCTCTTTTCAACCACACAGACAAGCTCTTATAGTTACTAAGATACACATTTATTTAAAAGCATTAGTGATTTAATATTAGTTCTTTTTTTTAAAACACTGCGAGTTGATTTGTCCGTTACTAAAAATGTAACTATATGTCTGAGGTGTTGGTGATCAGGAAAATTATTTAAATATACTTGAAAAGGTTGTAAACTCTTGCCCCAATCCATGTTAATGTCTTTTAATCCCACTACCCTTATAGTTTCAATATCATTCATAGCCTATTCTGCCCAAAGCATTTTTTGATTTTTGTTTTTAATAATTTTACTCCACAGAATATAATGTATTAAAAAGTTTAGTCTGTCAACAAGTAATCATGAGGTTTTTTTTGTTTAAAGATTTTATTTTTTCCTTTTTCTCCCCAAAGCCCCCCAGTACATAGTTGTATATTTTAGTTGTGAGTCCTTCTAGTTGTGGCATGTGGGACGCTGCCTCAGCGTGGCTTGATGAGCAGTGCCATGTCTGCGCCTAGGATTTGAACCAACGAAACACTGGGGCGCCTGCAGCGGAGCTCACGAACTTAACCACTCGGCCACAGGGCCAGCCCCTAATCATGAGTTTTTATGTAGAGTGCCTTTCTTTTGGTAGGAGTCCAGGAGAATCTTGGTTTTTTTCCTCAATAAATTTGATTGTTTTATATTCCTGTTAAAACGACACACTCTTTGTGTCCCTGAATTTATATTATATACACATTCACATGTGGAAGGTAGTAAAGGATCTGTGGACATCCATATGTGTGGATTAGTGTGTACCTAGACATTTTTTTGAATTTCTGGATTAAATATTGGATTGTTACTATGGTAAGCCATTTCATTTGACATTGCATCAGAAACATTATTCCATGTCAATATACATTTAAGTACACATTGAGATTCTTGATGGATGCATAGATTCTAGTGTATGAAGCTTATCTATCCCCCTAGGACTGGATATTTAGATTGCTTCTGGTGTTTTAATATTATAAACAATGTTGAGTTAAACTGTGTAAGTGGATCTTCGTCTACCTGTCTAATTACGTCCTTAGGATAAATCCTAAGTAGTGGAATTAGATTCAAAAGCTATCAGAGACTTGTAAGGCTTTTGATACATGTTGCAAAATTGCCCTCCTGAAAGATTACATCAATTTATGCTCCACCTAGCAGTGTTTGAGAGCATCTGTTTCTCTGCACCCTCACTCACACTGATTATTAAAACTAATAATGAACCCTTATCTTTTTTCCCCAATTTAATTTGGAAAAATTTCAGAATTCAGAAAGATTGAAAATACAGCGCAATGAATACCAGTCTACCCTTCATCTAGGTTCGCCAAATGTTAACTTTTTGCAGCATTTGTTTTCTCTTTTTTCCTGAACTTTTTTAAAGTACAGTAATTTATTCTTAATTTGATGTATTCTGTGGACTTCAGCCCTAATTCCATTAACCTATTGAACATATAGCATTGTTAGTTCATGTACCACAGCGTCCAGTTTCACTTCAGTCAGTGGCCAAGCTTTGGGCAAAGGAGAAATTCAGTTTTTAATGGCATCATGGAAATGTTATGGCTTATGTTTAAGTTTTAATTAGTGTATTCTTTTGAGAAATATGCATAGTAAAAAGAATACAAATTTTAAACGTGTGAGGAAAAACGTAAAGAACGTTGCTTATTTGTTCTTGGAAATAACGGCAATTCAAATATTTCATTCAGATTTACCTATACCAAATGAGAAAAATGACACGGAACTTGATTCTCCACCTGCCAAGAGAAAAAGAATAGGTTTTTTCCAGACTTGTGATGTGGAATATTTAAAAGTTGGTTTTATTATCTGTCCGGGATCCAAAGAAAGTTTGCCAAGGCCACAGTGTGTCATTTGTGGAGAAATCTTATCCACTGAAAACATGAAGCCAGCAAATCTTTCTCATCATTTGAAGACAAAACATTCAGAATTAGAAAACAAACCAGTAGATTTTTTTGAGCAAAAATCTCTTGAAATGGCATGTCGAAACAGTTCTTTAAAAAAGTGTTTACTAGTTGAAAAGTCACTTGTGAAAGCTTCTTATTTAATTGCTCTCCAAGTTGCTGCCAGCAAGAAGCCGTTTTCCATCGCTGAAGAATTAATTAAACCGTATTTAGTAGAAATGTGTTCAGAGGTTTTGGGTTCCAGTGCAGGAGACAAAATGAAAACCATTCCTCTTTCTAATAATACGATCGGACACAGGATCGATGAACTGTCTGCAGACATTGAAGATCAGCTGATTCAAAAAGTCAGAGACTCCAAGTGGTTTGCCCTGCAGATAGATGAGTCTTCAGAAATCTCCAGTATCACCCTTCTTTTGTGCTATATTCGTTTCATTGACTATGATTGTAGTGATATAAAAGAAGAATTATTATGTTGCCTTGAGATGCCTTCTCAAATAACTGGTTTTGAAATATTTGAACTAATAAATAACTATATTGATAGTAAATCTCTGAGTTGGAAACACTGTGTGGGTCTCTGTACAGATGGGGCTGCAAGCATGACTGGCAGGTGTTCTGGTTTAAGGGCAAAGGTTCAAGAAGTTGCCACGAATACAGTGGCATTTACACATTGTTTTATTCACCGCGAACATTTAGCAGCAGAAAAGTTGTCTCCATGTTTACATGAAATTCTTTTGCAGTCAGCACAAATTTTAAGTTTCATAAAGAGCAATGCGTTGAATTCACGAATGTTAACAATTTTGTGCGAAGAGATGGGACCTGAGCATGTGAATTTACCACTTCCTGCCGAAGTACGTTGGATATCTAGAGGGAGAATTTTAACAAGATTATTTGAATTACGGCATGAAATTGAAATCTTTTTAAACCAAAAGCATTCAGATTTGGCCAGGTATTTTCTTGATGAGGAATGGGTTGCAAAGCTGGCCTATTTGTCAGATATTTTTTCACTTATAAATGAACTAAATTTAAGTCTCCAAGGAACTATGACTACCCTCTTCAATTTGTATAATAAAATCGATGTATTTAAGGAAAAGTTAAAAATGTGGTTGAAGCGCACACAAGAGAATGATTATGACATGTTCCCTTCATTTTCTGAATTCTCAAACTCATCAGGCTTAAACATGAGAAGTACTGCAAGCATTATTTTTAAGCACCTGGAAGGGCTTTCTCAAGTGTTCAATGACTGTTACCCACCAGAAGCAGACTTGCGTTCAGGAAATTCGTGGATACTTAATCCTTTTATGAATCACCAAAATAGTAACCTCACGGACTTCGAAGAAGAAAAACTAGCACAGTTGTCTTCAGATTTGGGATCACAATCAGTATTTAAATCAATGTCTGTAACTCAGTTTTGGATCAATGCAAAGACAAGTTACCCAGAACTCCATGAAAAGTCAATGAAATTTTTATTGCCTTTTTCAACTGTTTATTTATGCGATGCGACATTTTCAGCTTTGACTGAGTCAAAGCAGAGAAACCTGTTAGTTTCTGGCCCTGCCCTAAGACTTGCAGTCACATCTTTAATTCCAAGGATAGAAAAACTAGTAAAGGAGAAAGAATAGTAACATGCATATTGCTTATTATCAAAGTCTATAATTTTGTGTTAAATTTTGAATGAGATAAGTATCCTAAAATATAACTTCCTAATGTGGATATGTGTTTTCAGTGATTAAATAAGTGTTTTAATAACTTTTCTCTTTTTATTGAGGAATTTAATAATTCTGCATTTGTAATTTTAATCATCCCGACGGTAGAGAGTTTCACTATTTTACTGATTGATCGAATAATCTGGATTAGTGACAAAGACGTAGATAACGAAAGAGTCCAGTTTATAATTCATAGCACACCTGGATGTTGAAACTGTGTGGTCTTCAGAAGCACATGACAGGACATTCCAGTCTTCAGCCAGCCAGCCACCTACCCCAGCAGGTTGCGAGTAGGTAGAAAACAAAGACCTAAGCTGCTTGACTAACAGGAAATGGAAGCAGCAGGAGCATTTGAGACCCCTGTTAGGGGCCTTTGTGGCCCAATGGACCAGGACTTGGCAAACCTTTTTCATAAAGCGCCACATAGTGAATATTTTAGGCTTTGCAGGCCATACAGTGGCAGCTGCTCACTTGGGCGGTTGCAGCCCGAAAGCAACCATAGGTAGCGCACACACAAATGAGTGTGGCTGTTTCAATAAAAGTTTATATGTCAGTGCTGAAATAGGAACTTCATATAATTTTCATGTGTCATGAAAGCTGCCTTTAAAATTATTTTATCACTGAAAAATGTAAACAAACATCGTTAGCCAGGAGAGGAGGAGGGAGTGAAAAACCCAGACAGCTCGTCACGTTTGGCCGCATTGTTTGCCCATCCAGGTCTCAACAGATTTCCAGGGAAGAGCTCATGGGCCGGGCTGGCCTGTTGGGTTTTGTCCAGTGAAAACCTCTCTTCCCTCCGGCTGCAGGTATCTGACTTGTCAAACACCTGTCACGGTTTGATTGCAGCTGAGAGAAATTGCAAAGATAGCAAGGAACAAGAAGCGATTTTATAATTACTAGTTAGTGATTTACTACTAATAATTTCATTACTTGAGTTATTTGCAAGTAACTTTTTGAGCTCTTAGTGTGCCAGGCCTGTTACAGACTCGGGAGGACTCACAGGGCGTTATCCCCACTGCCCGAGGCCCGCCGGGTTGGGTGACAGCTCGGATCGCAAAGCTAGTGTGGCAGGAGGAAGCCCCGGTCTTTCAACCGTCACAGAGCTCTCTGCGAGCCGCGGCCGGGTCCCCACATTGGCCTCCACTCTGTCGGTACTGGCTGGGAGACAGAGACTATCCCCGAATCAGAGGGGCCCGGTTAGAGTCAGTGGGCCTCAGTGTCCCCATCTGTGAGATGGGGACGCCCCGCCCCAAGGCCGGCTCCTCCCGTAACCGGGACAGGAGGGAGGCCACAGCCCCGGAAGGCGCGTCCGGTCCGGGGAGGCGGGGGGGAGCGGGAGCGACGGCGGCGGGGCGGGCTTGCGGGGGCGCCTGGCCCGGGGTGGCCGAGCCCGCGTCCGGAGGGCCCGCGCGGCCATGGCGCTCCCGCTCGCCGCGCTGCGCGTCCTGCTGGGCGGTTTCTTCGCGCTCACGGGCGCCGCCAAGCTCTCGGAGCAGCTCTCGCCTCCCACGTCGGAGCGGATGGTGAGCGGCTCGGGCGGGGCGGGAGCTGCGGCCCCGGCCTTCCCCCGGCACCCCCGCCTGTCCCCGCCCGCGCCCCGCCGAGCCGCCGGCCTCCGGCGAGCCGGCCCCAGAGCGGGGGGCGAGCACCTGGACCTCGATCAGACGTGGGCCCTTCCTGGGGAGCTCCTGCGAGCTCTCCGGAGCTCCCACAGACGGCGGGGCACCGGCATGGCCCCCTCCAGCGAGCACTGGTGGCCCGGGCACATCTAGAGCTGGAGTGGGAATGCCCGGGACCCTGGGAGAGGAGGAGGGAATGGAAAAGGGACCAAGCTCCCACTGCCCTCTTCCTCCCCTTTGTTTGCTGAGTTCTTGGGGGTTATTGGTTCTTGGGGCAAGGGGTTATCAATTTCCCCTTGTCAGAGTAGGAGACCCACCGTGAAGGTCAGCAGCAGGACCCAAACTAGACAGTCTCCTAACTTAAAGTCCAGAGGGCCCTTCCATGGAGCCTGAGCGCGAGGCCTGCAAGTTGCCCTTTGGCCTCTTGTCTAGTTCCAGACTCTCAGGAAAGCTTTCATGTCCTTAGGCCCACCAATCCCCCCAGCCCTGAATAAGCCAGACCTGAAGGCCCCTGCCAACCTCCCTCTCCCAGCCCTGGGTTCTCCCCGGCCCCTTCCTTCCTGGTTTAGGGTGCTGTTGTGTGGGGAAGTACATCCACACAGCCAGGCCTTTAGAGCTGCTTCCTTGGGCTGCTGAGTAAGGGGCCTAGATCTGAGATGGGGGAGCAGGTAAGGGTAGCCAACCTGAGGGCAGGGGTGAAGTTGTCACGTGGCCCAGGACAGAGCCTGACTGAGCAAGCTGAGTCACTTTGAGGCCCCTCAACTCCACTCGTGTCTCCTGCAGTGGGATCCAGGACCCCGCATATAATATTCAGAGTGGAATCTGTTTAATGAACAACAGTCCGCCCTTCCATCCTCTCCCCTACCTCGAAATATCCCCTGCCTGGTAGCCTGAAGAGAAAGCAGGCCAGGCAGAAAGAGAAGCTGTGGCGTTTGTAAGGCCTCAGCACTAGCTGAGGAGGCCCGAGCCTAACTTCCTTTTCCTGGAGTTTGGGGCTGAGTTGTAATCTGGTGAGAAATCAGTCCATCTCTGCACCACTGTCCAGCCCTTCTCCCAGGGATGTGAAGCCTGTTTCCTGATTCCAAAGCTCAGCCCTGCAAGGAGGCCGTGTCCTCTCCAGGCTGCCCTCTGCCCTCTGCCCTGGACCTGACCTAGAGTGGAAGCTCCTTTGTTGGGGGAGCTGGGGACACAGGCACAGAAGCCCCTGCGGAGCGCCTGGGCAGTGGATCCTCCGGGAGTGTGGCTGACAGGCGCTCCCTGCTGCCCCTAGAAAGCCCTGTTCGTGCAGTTTGCTGAGGTCTTCCCACTGAAGGTGTTCTGCTACCAGCCAGATCCCGAGAGCTACCAGGCGGCTGTGGGCTGGCTGGAACTGCTGGCTGGGTTGCTGCTGGTCCTGGGCCCACCGGTGCTGCAAGACATCAGTAACTTGCTTTTGACCCTGCTCATGATGGGTAAGGGAGGCCCAAGTGGGCTGGGGAAACGGGGACTTCTTGCGGGGTGGGGAGGGTGTGTGTGTGCTAGAAAGATCTGGCTGTTCCCTTTTCTTTTTCTCTGGAACTAGGAACACTCCCTGCTCTACTGCAGTTTCCATGGTCTTCAGACTAGGACAGGTGCTTTTTAAGCTTAATATACTATAACGCTCTTCTGTGTCAAATATACCTTCTACCTCATCAATTCAAGTGACTGCATGGTATTCCATCATAAAGATGTATTGTAACCTAAAAGCCCCTACCCCTCTCTCCTCGCCCCTAACCCTGAGATGAGGGCACGGAGTAGCAGCTGCCACTGGACTTACGTGTCTGGCAGGTGGGAACAGCGAGCAGGGCAGCTGGGCCCCCTGAACAGAAAGGCAGAGAGTTTCCGTGTGCCAGGCAGTCCTAGCAGGCCCCCTCATCACAGCTCTGCCCACAGCCACTGCTGATGTACGAAGACAGCTGCTGCTTCAAAGGCCAGCCCTCTGCAGGCTCTTCGGTATCCCCTGGCCTTGTCTCACCATTGCTGCCACCACCTCCCTCCCTCCCCCAGGCTTGCTTTCCATCTCTGGAGCTTCCCTCGTTTTCAGATCTTTCCCACACCTCCACCACCAACCCCCGGGCCTCCTTCCCTCCAGTGGGATTAAGAAAGGAGAAGGATCAGTGAGAATTTGTTCCAAAATGCCCATCTAGCCACCTCCCTGCCCTATTTAGCTTGATTCTCCCTGTTTCTTTCTTGCCTCTGAAAAGGGGCTACATTAGTTCAAGAAGCTTCTGATTCCTGGTTCTGCTCTCTCTGCCAGAGAGATGAGCACAGCCAGTTAGGGGGTGTGTGTGGGGGTGTTTCATGGGGGGCTTGTGCTGGAGTGGGTCGGCCTGGGCTGGAGAGCCCCGAGTTCCTGGACCTCCTGGATCCCCAGGGACCTCACTTTCCATTCTAGGGGCTCTCTTCACTTTGGTATCTCTGAAAGAGTCACTGAACACCTGCATTCCGGCCATCGTCTGCCTGGGGCTCCTGCTGCTGCTGGATATCTGCCAAGCCTTGGTCCAAACTAAGCAGGTGGTCAGAGCCACTAGGAAGACTCCAGGTGCATTCAAGGAACCCTGGGAGTAGAGTGGCTCTTGCCTCTTCGTGCCATGTCACGGTCCCAGCAGGAACATGGGGACACACAGAGTCTGCCACCTTATTACCAATATGTGCAGGGTAGGCCAGTGTAGAAACAGACAGCTTGTCTGCCTGGCCCTGCTTTTTCTCCTGGACATTTACTGCTCTTTTTTGAAGGGTATGTGTTATACATACTAGCATTCCTTATGTCATGTCAAAATAGAAAGTAAGCAGAAGAGAAATTTAAATCGCCCAAAATTTTAATGCCCTCAAATAACTACTTTCAGTTCCTTTGTATAATTGTACCTCTCAACTTTTTTCTGTGCCTTTATACAGGTATTTTTTAATGAAGATGAGACCATATGTACTACTTTATTACCTGCTTTTTAAACTTAATACACTGTGACACCATTCCATGTCTATTTTATCTCATTGATGTTAGTGGCTGCATAGTATTCCATTGTAAGGATGTACTGTATTTATTCAGGCCCCCACTGAGGAACTTTGGATTATTCTCAATTTTTTGCTACTGTAAACCTCACAGTAATTCACCTTTGCAAACTTACTTTCTTTCCCCAGAAGTGAGGGTGCTGGTTCAAAAGGCAGGCACATTTTTAAGGTTTTTATTACATACTTAAAATTTACACATTGGGTATGGCAGAGTATAAGTACCTGCTTCTGCCTGTGCCCTCCAAGCCACACGAGGTATTCCCACCCATTCCTTTTTATCTTGCTGTGCACTTTAGATTTGCAGAGCTAACAGAGATGGCATTGAGTCATCGTTTTACAGGACCTGAAACTGCCAGCCTCTGGGTGACGGGGGGCACTCAGTGCAGTGCCTACATGGAGGCAGGGGACAGCCAGCTCCAAGGGATGCTGCGTGTCAAAGCACTGTCGGGGGCCCGGGATGAATCCCAGAGGTCCTGGGGAGTCAGGAAGGGGGTGTGTGAGACAATTTTGGAGGGAAAATGACCATGTTAGGATACTTCCTATCACATCACCAACCATCTTCATCTCAGCGGGGGCCTTTTGGGAAGCGTCGTCCCTCCCATAAGGGAAAATAGTGAGGAAAAAGAATTCATTTATTTATGCAAATACTCAAGCCACCAGCCTACAAGTTGCTTTGGGGGCAGGGACAGTGGCTTTTGGGAGCCCACAGGAGTGAAAGAGGTCTATGTATATGGCTCCATTTCATCCTCACTAGAGAATGGTAATTTCTGCTCTGACACGAGCTGGGAACCTCAGGCAAGTTGGCGCTCTTAGGTAGGTCTTTTCTTCTTGTGTCTGAAAGGACAGTGATGCAATCAGTCTACAGAACTATCACATATATTAGTACATGTCTATGAGTACATATATATATATACACACATATGTATGTAGTGGTATTCATATACTACATATACAGGGCATCAAAACAATAGGGAAACTATTTCTCTCGCATAAGAGGTCCAGAGATAACATAGCTTCAGTTTCAATGTTGGCTAATTTGGCTTTGTGATGACACCAAAGACTGACGTTCTTTCAACTTTCTCCTCTGCTGCCTTCAGTTTATTGGCTGCTGCCTCGGTTGCAAAATAGTTGCAGGAGTTCCAGACGGCACATTCGCACATAACATCCAAAGGTGGAAAGAGAGAGGAAAGCTCTCCTAGAAGACCCCTAGATTTCTCTTCACGTCCCACTGGCCAGAACTGTGTCACATTTCCATTCCTAGGCCAGTCACTGGTGAGGAGGATGGAATTCCCATGGTGGACTTACACTAGTTAAGATTTACCCACACCGGTCAACAAAGAAGGGAGGGGGTAGATAATGGTTTCAGCCACTTACTAGCTTATTTGCGAAATGTGGATAATAATGGTAAATACTTCATGGAGTTGCTGTGAGGATTTAGGGAGTTCAAGTGCTGACAGTAGTGCCTGGCACATAATATGTGCTCAGTAAATGCTGTTATTCAATAGCATTTATTATTAAATAGCGGTTCGTTCTATAGATGAGAAAATGGATTCAGAAAGCTTAAGTGCCTATGTGTCAGACCTGAGACTAGAATTAAGGCCTGATTGACTCCAGCACCCACACTTTCCGCTGCCCCAGCTGCCAAAGTCGGAAGTGGGCAGACATGGCATCCCTGCTCCCTTCAGCTTGAGGGTAGATGGGATGATGGATCTGTCCGACGTGATAAAATCTGCCTTGCTTTCCAGAATTGCCCCTCTGCATGAAAAATTCGAAGCCCATGAAAATAGAGCCTGGAGCCCTAGGACCCTGGCCTCTTACCATCTCTACTCCTTCCAGGATGCCACAGCCAGCCTGGACTTTGAGGAAAACCTCTCACAGCTGGCATTAGAGCGAGAGCTCCTGTTTACCAAGGCTTGGCCTGTAAGCTGATTAGCAGCTACAGGGCCCGCCATGCTTAGCTGTAGGCCCCGCCCAGCAGCTGCAGGAAAGGCAGGGTGCTGGAGGAGTGGGCTGGCCAGCTGTTGTGGAGGAGCAGTTGGGATTGACAGCAGCAGGAGTGTCGAGCTCCAGCAGTGCCGCCTCAGCCCAAGGAGAAGCCAGGCCTCCAGAAATGCGCCCTCCAAACCACAGCCTAAACCTCGGGCAGGGCAGCACAATGACAGTCAGCTGCCAGGCCTTCCTTTCACCCTTCTATTTCCCTCCGTGTGCCCCTGGGCCCTGCAATGACACTCCCTTCCCTTGGGGCCCTGGCCACACCCCACAAACCCAGCTCACAGCTGTCACAGGTGGGCCCCAGCTCCTCCAGCTGTTGGGCCCATTCTTCCTGTGTGTCTTGGGATTAGTGGGTTGATGGGAGGGTCTGGGATGTGCAAGTGGGAGTGGATTCTGCTCTGGCTCAGCTCCTTAAAGCCAGGCCCCCAGGGCCCCAGAGAGAGCTGCAGCAGCCAGAACAGCAAGAGGTAAGAGAGGACTGATCTGGTGAGATGGCCGGGAGAGCTGCAGGGTGGGCACTTAGGGTCTAGAGCCATGCTGGACAGAGCTGAGAGGAGGAGAAGGGAATACGCTCACTCAGGGTCCCAGAGAGGACTGGAGCCTGAGTCAAAGGCGGAAGTGCAAAATCGGTATTGGAGGAACAGAGTTTTGGGACACCCTAGGAGTATGACTTATGTGCCCAAAGTAGGAACAGGCCATTCATTGGCTTGTTCACTTAGCCCCCTCGGGGAGAGAAGAGGACTACGCCCAGATGTCATTGTGTTGTTTTGTTTGCTTGGGGTGTCTGTCTCTAATGTGTGTGTGCCTGTGCGGGTCTACACATTTCGCTGTGTGCTGCCTGGAGGGGAAGGGAGCTAATGGTTATGAAGTATCTCCCCAGCGTCAGCCACAGTGCTCAGAGTTTTACTTATGTTTTCTCATAATCCTCCCAACAACCCTGTGAGGTAGGTATTTTAATCTCCATTTTACAGCAGAGAAGACAGGCTCAGTGAAGCTGAGTAATTTGCCCAAGGTCACATGGCAGATAAATGTCTGTATCCAGAATCTGCCTGACTCCCTGGCCTGTGCTCTTTCTGCTTTGCTGTCCAGAGTTTTGAATCACACCCAGGACTTCTTTGTGGTCCAAAGGTGAGGACGAAGGAAACAGGTGGAAGGCCTGGGGGTTGTGAAGGCTTTTCAGCCCTGCCCAAAGTGTTCCAGGCAAGCCCCAGGAGAGGACCTTCACCAAGGCAAGGCCAAGGTCACCATGCAGGGGCCTGTCCTCTAGGTTACTGCATCCTGATCCTGTTCATTCGTGCCTTGCTCTCTCTCCCACTGGTCTGGATGGCACGTGGAGGAAGGAGGCTGGGCTTTTTCCGGGAAGGACTCTATTCCAGCCTGGTTTCTCTACAATGCCTGCTGGCTCAGCCTTGCTGGGCTTCCTGTACATGCCTGTGTCCCCACATAGCTGAACCACACTCCACCTGTGAGGGGCACCTCCACCCTCCCAGTTACTAAGGTTGGAAATTTCCAAGCCAGCTGGGACTCCTGTCTCTTCCTCATTTCCCACAGCTTGTCAGCAAGCCCATTCTACTTCAAAGAACGCTAGAGTCCCTCCCCTCTCCAGCCCCAGCGGGTGCTGGCCGAGCTCAGGACTTCCTTACTTCTCAGGACTTCCTTACTTCTCGTGTCTCCTCCCAGCAAGGCCTGAGGAAGAGGGGACTGGTGGTGGGGAAGGTGGATGCAGGGCTGCTTCTGTGGCGAGGCTCCACAGTGACCTCTCTTCTTCTCCCTTGACCAAGGTCCGAGATGAACAGCAGTGTTGGGGACCTGGGTGTTGGTGGCTGCAGCCCCTGGGATGACCCTGCTCGCTTCATCGTGGTGCCCACGGCCTACGCCTTGGCGCTGGGCCTGGGGCTGCCCGCCAACGTGGCCGCGCTGGCAGTGTTCGTCCGCAGCGGCAGGCGCCTGGGCCAGGCCCTGCGTCTCTACCTGCTCAACCTGGCCCTGGCCGACGTGCTCTTCACGCTCACGCTGCCGCTGTGGCTCGCCTACTACCTGGGCCCGGCCCACTGGCCCTTCCCGGAGGCCGCGTGCCGCGCCGCCGGGGCTGCCTACTGCGCGGCCACCTACGCGGCCGTGGCCTTCGCGGCGCTCATCAGCGTGTGCCGCTGCGGCGCGGTGCGCGGTCCCCGGCCCGGGGTGGCCGGCCTCCTCTCGCTGCGCCGCCGGGGCCCCGCGCGCGCCGCCTGCGCCGCCGCCTGGCTGGCCGGCCTGGCCTGCGCCGCGCCCTCGCTGGCCGCCCCTCGCGCGCTGCGCCCCGGCCCGGGCGGTGCCACCCGCTGCCTCGAGCACGGCGGGGCGCGCGCCGGCCTGGCCTACGCCCCCGTGGCCTTCTTCGCCGCCGCCTTCCTGCTGGTGCTCGCGGCCTACGTGAGCCTGGCCCGGGCGCTCGCGGCGCCCTCGGGCCCGGGCCCGGTCCCCGCCGGACCGCACCGGCGCGCCGCCAGGACCATGGTGCTGGGCCTCCTGCTCGTCTTCGCCCTCTGCCTGGCGCCCTACCACTTGCTGCTGGCGCCCTGGGTGGCCGGGCAGGAGGGCGCCGCGGACGGCGACGGCGGCGGGTGCCGGGCCGCCTCCACGCTCGACGTCCTGCACACCCTCAGCCTGGCGCTGCTGAGCCTCAACAGCTGCCTGGACCCGCTCATCTACTGCTTCTCCGTGCGCCGCTTCCGCCAGGACTGCTGGGCGCTGGGCTGCCGCCCCGGGGCCGGGGGCCCCCGGCCGCACGCGGCCTCCTTGGCCTCCTCCTAGAGAGGCCCTGGCCTCCCCGCCCGCTTCACCTCTGCCACCCTCCCAGTGGCATCCTGGGTGGAGAAAGCTCTTCGGAAAGAAGATTCCGAATTCCGATCCTGACGCAACCATCTAGCCCAGTAGCTGTAGACATCCGGGCCATAAAAAGGAGATAGAACATTCTTCGTAACCCGAATGTTTC